TGATGTAGCATACTATGAAAAGATATGATGTACATTTTTAACTGAACATTTTGTACAGATGGGGGGGGGGGGGGGTAACAGGATGTGTGTATTTTAAGGACTGTATTGTATGTATCTGGGGGGGGTGTAACAGGATGTTTTAGTCGAAGGGTTTTTATATCAACTAATATTATTATAATTAGAATGGACAAAAGCATCCAATGTTATCAACTTTATATTATTATTCTAGTGTGGGAGTGTCCAATGGTCTATATGCTGTTAAATAGAGGTCAAGTTGATCCTGGTCTCAGACCACACACACACACACACACACACACACACACACACACACACACACACACACACACACACACTCACACACACAGAGAGAGACGTCTCAGACGAGAGACGAGGTGATCTGATCTAGACGGAGGACATAAACCAGGTCACATGCCCATATTATTTATCATAACACTTGTTTCATAGTTCATATTTGGACTCCACGGGTGAAGGTGTGTGTGTGTGTGTGTGTGTGTGTGTGTGTGGGGGGGGGGTACTGTACAGTGTGTTGTCTTTTACCTGCCGCATCATCAGGGGTTGATGTTCAACACACCACACACCACACACACACACACACACACACACACACACACACACACACACACACACACACACACACACACACACCTTTAGGTTTCAACCTCTGGTGACATAGAACAGCTTAAAGCAACACCCTTTTTGTAAAGTTTAATTCCACTCCATGTAACATCGCCACGCTGTCTCCAACGTTCACAGTAGCAGTGAACTAACAGTGACCTCTGTTTTCCAAGGTACACAGTGTTGTATATAGAGATGTATTCATGTCCAAGGAAAATATGATGTACACACGGGGGGTATCCATACAGTCTCTTTGAAATGCAATCATTTAAGGACAGAGTTTTGGAAGGAAGCTATTATATGTCTGACTATGATATGTACAGAATAAAGAGATTTGCCTATTTGCACTGAGAGGTGGGTATGATACAATAGCAAGGATATACGTTGTCATGATTTTCAATAATGCTTATCACGTGTTCATTCCCATTAGTTGTATTGAGTAGAGTCGTGTATACCTGTCTGTATTGAGTAGAGTCGTGTATACCTGTCTGTATTGAGTAGAGTCGTGTATACCTGTCTGTATTGAGTAGAGTCGTGTATACCTGTCTGTATTGAGTAGAGTCGTGTATACCTGTCTTTATTGAGTAGAGTCGTGTATACCTGTCTGTATTGAGTAGAGTCGTGTATACCTGTCTGTATTGAGTAGAGTCGTGTTATACCTGTCTGTATTGAGATAGAGTCGTGTATACCTGTCTGTATTGAGTAGAGTCGTGTATACCTGTCTGTATTGAGTAGAGTCGTGTATACCTGTCTGTATTGAGTAGAGTCGTGTATACCTGTCTGTATTGAGTTGAGTTGTGTATGAAGTATGTTTCAGTTGTTCTAGTTGAACGCGTACTGCATGTTTTCGCCGTCAATGTTTCCTGTAGATGTGTGTGTACTCTACGTCTGTGTCCCAAAAGGCACCCTATTCCCTAGATAGTGCACTACTTTAGACCAGAGAATGGCACCCTATTCCCTATATAGTGCACTACTTTAGACCAGAGAATGGCACCCTATTCCCTATATAGTGCACTACTTTAGACCAGAGAATGGTACCCTATTCCCTAGATAGTGCACTACTTTAGACCAGAGAATGGCACCCTATTCCCTATATAGTGCACTACTTTAGACCAGAGAATGGCACCCTATTCCCTATATAGTGCACTACTTTAGACCAGAGAATGGTACCCTATTCCCTATATAGTGCACTACTTTAGACCAGAGAATGGCACCCTATTCCCTATATAGTGCAGGACTTTGACCAGAGCCCTGGCACCCTATTCCCTAGATAGTGCAGGACTTTGACCAGAGCCCTGGCACCCTATTCCCTATATAGTGCACGACTTTGACCAGAGCCCTGGCACCCTATACAGTACACTACTTTTGACTAGGGCCCCATAGGGATCTGTTCAAAAGTACTGCACTATATGTAGGGAATAGGGTGCCATTTTTAAACACACCCCACTTCTTTCACTATTTCTGAGGCACATATGCAAAACATACACACTCCCCTTTCCCTCCTGGGTGAATGCTTTGTGGTCATTTAACGCTGTTTGAGATGATTTGAACCTTCTAGGAGAGAGAACGTGTGTTTTTATTGTATGACACCGTGTTCTGCTGCAGTTACAATGCCCCGTTTTTAACAGAGAATGAAAGTGACTTTCTATTGGTACAATCTATCTGAAGATGATTGCTACTCGTGAAAAAGACACGATGGCCGTATTACGAGACCATTTGTGTGTCTGTGTGGACACGGGGAGTGAGAACAAACTGTAATTGAATTGGAAGGAAGCTATTATATGTCTGACTATGATATGTACAGAATAAAGAGATTTGCCTATTTGCACTGAGAGGTGGGTATGATACAATAGCAAGGATATACGTTGTCATGATTTTCAATAATGCTTATCACGTGTTCATTCCCATTAGTTGTATTGAGTAGAGTCGTGTATACCTGTCTGTATTGAGTAGAGTCGTGTATACCTGTCTGTATTGAGTAGAGTCGTGTATACCTGTCTGTATTGAGTAGAGTCGTGTATACCTGTCTGTATTGAGTAGAGTCGTGTATACCTGTCTTTATTGAGTAGAGTCGTGTATACCTGTCTGTATTGAGTAGAGTCGTGTATACCTGTCTGTATTGAGTAGAGTCGTGTATACCTGTCTGTATTGAGTAGAGTCGTGTATACCTGTCTGTATTGAGTAGAGTCGTGTATACCTGTCTGTATTGAGTAGAGTCGTGTATACCTGTCTGTATTGAGTAGAGTCGTGTATACCTGTCTGTATTGAGTTGTGTGTATGAAGTATGTTTCAGTTGTTCTAGTTGAACGCGTACTGCATGTTTTCGCCGTCAATGTTTCCTGTAGATGTGTGTACTCTACGTCTGTGTCCCAAAAGGCACCCTATTCCCTAGATAGTGCACTACTTTAGACCAGAGAATGGCACCCTATTCCCTATATAGTGCACTACTTTAGACCAGAGAATGGTACCCTATTCCCTAGATAGTGCACTACTTTAGACCAGAGAATGGCACCCTATTCCCTATATAGTGCACTACTTTAGACCAGAGAATGGCACCCTATTCCCTATATAGTGCACTACTTTAGACCAGAGAATGGTACCCTATTCCCTATATAGTGCACTACTTTAGACCAGAGAATGGCACCCTATTCCCTATATAGTGCAGGACTTTGACCAGAGCCCTGGCACCCTATTCCCTATATAGTGCACGACTTTGACCAGAGCCCTGGCACCCTATTCCCTATATAGTGCACGACTTTGACCAGAGCCCTGGCACCCTATACAGTACACTACTTTTGACTAGGGCCCATAGGGATCTGTTCAAAAGTACTGCACTATATGTAGGGAATAGGGTGCCATTTTTAAACACACCCCACTTCTTTCACTATTCTGAGGCACATATGCAAAACATACACACTCCCCTTCCCTCCTGGGTGAATGCTTTGTGGTCATTTAACGCTGTTTGAGATGATTTGAACCTTCTAGGAGAGAGAACGTGTGTTTTTATTGTATGACACCGTGTTCTGCTGCAGTTACAATGCCCCGTTTTTAACAGAGAATGAAAGTGACTTTCTATTGGTACAATCTATCTGAAGATGATTGCTACTCGTGAAAAAGACACGATGGCCGTATTACGAGACCATTTGTGTGTCTGTGTGGACACGGGGAGTGAGAACAAACTGTAATTGAATGCACAATGGTTGTAATAACGGCTCATTTGAAATGTTATTTGAATAGTCGGTGTCTATCATCATTTATGTTCCAAACCGAATAAAACAAATCTTCAGGCATATATATAGTCTACTGTACCAATGGCATTCTTTCACTCAGATTGTGTGGGTTACTTAACCTAGGAGTAAACTGTCTCAAACTTTCACAGAATGCTACAGTGAGGAGTTGTAAGTCTTTCACAGAATTCTACAGTGAGGAGTTGTAGTCTTTCACAGAATGCTACAGTGAGGAGTTGTAGTCTTTCACAGAATGCTACAGTGAGGAGTTGTAGTCTTTCACAGAATTCTACAGTGAGGAGTAGTAGTCTTTTACAGAATGCTACAGTGAGGAGTTGTAAGTCTTTCACAGAATTCTACAGTGAGGAGTTGTAGTCTTTCACAGAATGCTACAGTGAGGAGTTGTAGTCTTTCACAGAATGCTACAGTGAGGAGTTGTAGTCTTTCACAGAATTCTACAGTGAGGAGTAGTAGTCTTTCACAGAATTCTACAGTGAGGAGTAGTAGTCTTTCACAGAATGCTACAGTGAGGAGTTGTAAGTCTTTCACAGAATTCTACAGTGAGGAGTTGTAGTCTTTCACAGAATGCTACAGTGAGGAGTTGTAGTCTTTCACAGAATTCTACAGTGAGGAGTAGTAGTCTTTCACAGAATGCTACAGTGAGGAGTAGTAGTCTTTTACAGAATGCTACAGTGAGGAGTAGTAGTCTTTTACAGAATGCTACAGTGAGGAGTTGTAGTCTTTCACAGAATTCTACAGTGAGGAGTTGTAGTCTTTCACAGAATTCTACAGTGAGGAGTTGTAGTCTTTAAAAAACAATCCATTGACAGCTCTTTAGACTTGCACACTGCTGTGGTCCGTGCGCATGTGATGGCTCTTTAACTGGTGAAAAAAAATCCTAGCGGTCCTTAGAGAGTTTGGGTCACGTGCCAAGATAGGCTATGCCAGCCGGTAGAGCCTCGACTGGGTTACGATAGCATACCCGTTAATGAGAGTGGTGTTGTTGATATTGTAAACGGGTGACAGGTATCGTCACTTACGTCGTATCCTACCTATCTTACCTACGGTACTCCCCTTGATGGCGTGTATAAAAGGGGAACAGAAGATGACGCGAGGCTGAGTGAGTGTAACGGGAAGATGCTCCTCTTCGGTGTGCCTGTGCTCCTTCTGCTGTCGGCAGTCGGTAAAGCTGCGACTGACCTCCCCGCGACTGAGGCGTCGCTTCATCCAGAGCTGGGTCTCCGTAGCGGTGGAATACCCGGTCCGTCACTACCCGCTTCTCCGACCTCCTCCCTAGACCGCTTCCAGGTCCAGCCCCAGGAGGAGTATGCCTCGCCGGGCATTGCCTTGGCCCGGTCCGCCGAGGGACCGTCCGCGACCACGGAGGACGGCAGCGAGTCGCACCGCCACAGCGGGGGGTTCCAGATGGTGCAGTGGGAATGGAGCTACGTCCAGACGCCTTACATTATCGCTATATGGATCCTTGTGGCCAGTGTCGCGAAAATCCGTAAGTGGACATCTGACCTTATTCTCTGAATCTACTGGCATATAACCTAGTTACCAAGCAACCATTTAGTCTGTGTGATATCTGCAGTCTATAAAAGGTACTTTAGCAAAGCCTATAAATAGGACTATTACGCATGCAGGGTTGCCATATATTCTGGGATTTAGCCTATTGACTATCTTGAACAATTGAACCATGTAGTTAAATGTAACAGGAATGTCCAGCTAAAGAAAAGAGAAGAACCAGTCCTATTACAATCAAATCATGGATAGTTCTAGATGGTCTGCTAGGTATATACCGGCTACTTATCCTTCACTTCTGCAAGCACCTGCTACAGAGAGGTCATTCAGTATGCTACTACTGTAGATGATCAATAATGACAATATGCCTGTCATTGACTTGGGGGAAACTATTCTGCTTCAGACCTCTGAGCCATGCTGTATAGCTCTTAAGGAACTATTTATTTTCAAACATAACTTCTTTTTATTTCTGTCATACTCTTTCTCCTTTGAACTCTTCATTCTCCTTCACGGCACAGTGTGCTCCCTGCCCCAGAAACCTTCACCCTCCTTCACAGCACAGTGTGCTCCCTGCCCCAGAAACCTTCACCCTCCTTCACGGCACAGTGTGCTCCCTGCCCCAGAAATCTTCACCCTTCTTCACAGCACAGTGCGCTCCCTGCCCCAGAAACCTTCACCTTCCTTCACGGCACAGTGCGCTCCCAGCCCCAGAAACCTTCACCCTCCTTCACAGCACAGTGCGCTCCCTGCCCCAGAAACCTTACCTTCACCCTCCTTCACAGCACAGTGCGCTCCCTGCCCCAGAAACCTTCACCCTCCTTCACGGCACAGTGTGCTCCCTGCCCCAGAAATCTTCACCCTCCTTCACAGCACAGTGCGCTCCCTGCCCCAGAAATCTTCACCCTCCTTCACGGCACAGTGCGCTCCCTGCCCCAGAAACCTTCACCCTCCTTCACGGCACAGTGTGCTCCCTGCCCCAGAAACCTTCACCCTCCTTCACGGCACAGTGTGCTCCCTGCCCCAGAAACCTTCACCCTCCTTCACGGCACAGTGTGCTCCCTGCCCCAGAAACCTTCACCCTCCTTCACGGCACAGTGCGCTCCCTGCCCCAGAAACCTTCACCCTCCTTCACGGCACAGTGTGCTCCCTGCCCCAGAAACCTTCACCCTCCTTCACGGCACAGTGTGCTCCCTGCCCCAGAAACCTTCGCCCTCCTTCACGGCACAGTGCGCTCCCTGCCCCAGAAACCTTCCTCCTCTTTCACGGCACAGTGCATCACGGCACAGTGTGTCCTTCACGGCACAGTGCGCTCCCTGCCCCAGAAACCTTACCTTCACCCTCCTTCACAGCACAGTGTGCTCCCTGCCCCAGAAACCTTCCTCCTCTTTCACGGCACAGTGCGCTCCCTGCCCCAGAAACCTTACTTTCACCCTTCTTCACGGCACAGTGTGCTCCCAGCCCCAGAAACCTTCATCCTCCTTCACGGCACAGTGCGCTCCCTGCCCCAGAAACCTTACTTTCACCCTCCTTCACAGCACAGTGCGCTCCCAGCCCCAGAAACCTTCACCCTCCTTCACGGCACAGTGCGCTCCCTGCGCTAGAAACCTTCATCCTTCTTCACAGCACAGTGCGCTCCCAGCCCCAGAAACCTTCACCCTCCTTCACAGCACAGTACGCTCCCTGCCACAGAAACCTTCACCCTCCTTCACGGCACAGTGCGCTCCCTGTCCCAGAAACCTTCACCCTCCTTCAAGGCACAGTGCGCTCCCTGCCACAGAAACCTTCACCCTCCTTCACGGCACAGTGCGCTCCCTGTCCCAGAAACCTTCACCCTCCTTCAAGGCACAGTGCGCTCCCTGTCCCAGAAACCTTCACCCTCCTTCAAGGCACAGTGCGCTCCCTGTCCCAGAAACGTTCACCCTCCTTCAAGGCACAGTGCGCTCCCTGCCACAGAAACCTTCACCCTCCTTCACGGCACAGTGCGCTCCCTGTCCCAGAAACCTTCACCCTCCTTCACGGCACAGTGCGCTCCCTGTCCCAGAAACCTTCACCCTCCTTCACAGCACAGTGCGCTCCCTGCCACAGAAACCTTCACCCTCCTTCACGGCACAGTGCGCTCCCTGTCCCAGAAACCTTCACCCTCCTTTTGGGCACAGTGCGCTCCCAGCCCCAGAAACCCAGCCACGCTGGCACCTTTCCTAGAGAGAGTCATGGAACCCCCCCCCCCCCCACACACACACACACACACACACATTCTCACGACTCACTGAGGTCCAGCGGCATGTTGGGTTGACTCTGACTCACTGTCTAGCTATTGGACTCTCTGTGGACTCGCTTCTTATGACACGGTGACAGATTACAGAGAGAGAGAGAGAGAGAGAGAGAGAGAGAGAGACTTACTGACATCACATGCAGGTGCTAAAACATGAAGTAAGTATTGAATTGATCAGACTGTCCCCATCTGTCTGACTGTCCCTACTATGTGTTGTTGTTTTGTTCAGTTTAGCTGCCTGACACAGCCAATGATACTCAATGGGACTAGCAGCTCCTTCAATATGTCACCTCTCTCTCTCTGTCACTTACACAATGTCCTCCAGTCTGTTCAATGCAGCCGAGCAGTCTGGAACTCTCCCTCTCTCTACCTGCAGTGTTTCTCCCTCCCTCTCCCTGCAGTGTTTCTCCCTCCCTCTATCTCACTGTAACTTCTATTTCTCTCTTTCTCTCATTCCTCTGGGTTAAAACAGGACTAGCTGTTTCTCTGGGTTAAGACAGGACTAGCTGTTTCTCTGGGTTAAGACAGGACTAGCTGTTTCTCTGGGTTAAGACAGGACTAGCTGTTTCTCTGGGTTAAGACAGGACTACCTTTTTCTTTGGGTTAAGACGGGACTAGCTGTTTCTCTGGGTTAAGACAGGACTAGCTGTTTCTTTGGGTTAAGACAGGACTCGCTGTTTCTTTGGGTTAAGACAGGACTAGCTGTTTCTCTGGGTTAAGACAGGACTAGCTGTTTCTCTGGGTTAAGACAGGACTAGCTGTTTCTTTGGGTTAAGACAGGACTAGCTGTTTGATTACAGTTTTAATTTATTTATTTCACTCCATTAGACATGCTGTTTATCAGAGGCTGGCAGAGCTGTGTGTGTGTGTGTGTGTGTGTGTGTGTGGGTGGATATGACGGGTGTGTGTGTGTGTGTGTGTGTGTGTGTGTGTGTGTGTGGATATGACGGGGGTGTGTGTGTGTGTGTGTGGATATGACGGGTGTGTGTGTGTGTGTGTGTGTTTCACCAGCCCACTCACTCTCCGTACAGAAGCTCTGAGAAGCAGAGATGTGCTTCAGGCGAATGTCTTTCTACTATCTACATCTATTTCAGCAGCAGAGACTGTCTCTCTCTCCAAATGGCACCCTAGTCCCTTTATAGTGCACTACTTTAGACCAGGGGCCATAGGGTCATTTGGGGCATATATGTAGGGCAATTGTACTATTATGTGTGGGTTTTTTTTTGCGTTATTTGTAATTTATTCTGTACATAATGTTTCTGCCACCGTCTCTTATGACCAAAAAGAGCTTCTGGATATCAGGACAGCGATTACTCACCTCGTATTGGATGAAGATTTTTGCTTCAACGAGTCGGACGCGAAGGATATTCTACAGACACCCGACAAGGCCCAAATCCCCGTCATTTGCATGAGGAAGAGACAGAGATATCGTGGACGTAGGTCGGGGTGCCTTGTAAGGATCCGACGGCGAGCGAGTAAACTGCCTCTTCCATCAATCCTATTAGCCAATGTTCAATCATTGGAAAATAAATTGGACGACCTAAGATTATGGTTATCCTACCAACGGGACATTAAAAACTGAAATATCTTATGTTTCACTGAGTCGTGGCTGAACGACGACATGGACAACAGGTAGATAGCTTAGTGGTTAAGAGCGTTGTGCCAGTAACCGAAAGGTCGCTGGTTCTAATCCCTGAGCCGACTAGGTGAAAGATCTGTTGATGTGCCCTTGAGCAAGGCACTTAACCCTAATTGCTCCTGTAAGTCGCTCTGGATAAGAGCGTCTGCTAAATCACTATCAATCAAGAGTCAATACAGGACTAAGATTGAATCGTACTACACCGGCTCTGGCGCTCGTCAGATGTGGCAGGGCTTGCAAACTATTACAGACTACAAAGGGAAGCACAGCCGCGAGCTGCCCAGTGACACAAGCCTACCAGACGAGCTAAATCACTTCTATGCTCGCTTCGAGGCAAGTAACACTGAAACATGCATGAGAGCACCAGCTGTTCCGGACGACTGTGTGATCACGCTCTCCGTAGCTGATGTGAGTAAGACCTTTAAACAGGTCAACATTCACAAGGCCGCAGGGCCAGACGGATTAACAGGATGTGTACTCCGAGCATGCGCTGACCAACTGGCAAGTGTCTTCACTGACATTTTCAGCCATGGATTACAGGCAACATCCACACTGAGCTAAAGGGTAGAGCTGCCGCTTTCAAGGAGCAGGACTCTATTTATTTGTGTTTTATTTCACCTTTATTTAACCAGGTAAGCCAGTTGAGAACAAGTTCTCATTTACAACTGCGACCTGGCCAAGATAAAGCAAAGCAGTGTGATAAAAACAACAACACAGAGTTACATATGGGGTAAAACAAAACATAAAGTCAAAAAATACAACAGAAAATATATATACAGTGTGTGCAAATGTAGCAATTTATGGAGGTAAGGCAATAAATAGGCTATAGTGCAAAATAATTACAATTAGTATTAACACTGGAATGCTAGATGTGCAAGAGATTATGTGCAAATAGAGATACTGGAGTGAAAAAGAGCAAAATAAATAACAATATAGGGATGAGGTAGTTGGGTGGGCTAATTTCAGATGGGCTGTGTACAGGTGCAGTGATCGGTAAGGTGCTCTGACAACTGATGCTTAAAGTTAGTGAGGGAGATAAGAGTCTCCAGCTTCAGAGATTTTTGCAATTCGTTCCAGTCATTGGCAGCAGAGAACTGGAAGGAATGGCGGCCAAAGGAGGTGTTGGCTTTGGGGATGACCAGTGAGATATACCTGCTGGAGCGCATACTACGGGTGGGTGTTGCTATGGTGACCAATGAGCTAAGATAAGGCGGGGATTTGCCTAGCAGTGATTTATAGATGGCCTGGAGCCAGTGGGTTTGACGACGAACATGTAGTGAGGACCAGCCAACAAGAGCGTACAGGTCACAGTGGTGGGTAGTGTATGGGGCTTTGGAGACAAAACGGATGGCACTGTGATAGACTACATCCAATTTGCTGAGTAGAGTGTTGGAGGCTATTTTGTAAATGACATCACCGAAGTCAAGGATTGGTAGGATAGTCAGTTTTACGAGGGCATGTTTGGCAGCATGAGTGAAGGAGGCTTTGTTGCGAAACAAACCCGGACGCTTATAAGAAATCCCGCTATGCCCTCCGACGAACCATCAAACAGGCAAAGAGTCAATACAGGACTAAGATTGAATCGTACTACACCGGCTCTGACGCTCGTCGGATGTGGCAGGGCTTGAAAACTATTACAGACTACAAAGGGAAGCACAGCCGCAAGCTGCCCAGTGACACAAACCTACCAGCTGAGCTAAATCACTTCTATGCTTGCTTCGAGGCAAGCAACACTGAAGCAGGCATGAGAGCATCAGCTGTTCCAGATGACTATGTGATCACGCTCTCCGTAGCCGATGTGAGTAAAACTTTTAAGCAGGTCAACATTCACAAGGCCACAGGGCCAGACGGATTACCAGGACGTGTACTCCGAGCATGCGCTGACCAACTGGCAAGTGTCTCCACTGACATTTTCAACATGTCCCTGACTGAGTCTGTAATACCAACATGTTTCAAGCAGACCACCATAGTCCCTGTGCCCAAGAACACTAAGATAACCTGCCTAAATGACTACCGACCCGTAGCACTCACGTCTGTAGCCATGAAGTGCTTTGAAAGGCTGGTCATGGCTCACATCAACACCATTATCCCAGAAACCCTAGACCCACTCCAATTTGCATACCACCCCAACAGATCCACAGATGACGCAATCTCTATTGCACTCTACACTGCCCTTTCCCACCTGGACAAGAGGAACACCTACGTGAGAATGCTATTCGTTGACTACAGCTCAGCGTTCAACATCATAGTGCCCTCAAAGCTCATCAATAAGCTAAGGACCCTGGGACTAAACACCTCCCTCTGGATCCTGGACTTCCTGACGGGCCGCCCCCAGGTGGTAAGGGTAAGTAACAACACATCTGCCACGCTGATCCTCAACACGGGGGCCCCTCAGGGGTGCGTGCTCAGTCCCCTCCTGTACTCCCTGTTCACCCATGACTGCATGGCCAGGCACCACCAACACCATCCTTAAGGAGATGTTTGTGGACTACAGGAAAAAAAAGAGGACTGAGCACGCCCCCATTCTCATCGACGGGGCTGTAGTGGAACAGGTTGAGAGCTTCAAGTTCCTCGGTGTCCACATCACCAACAAACTATCATGGTCCAAACACATCAAAGACAGTCGTGAAGAGGGCACGACAAAGCCTATTCCCCCTCAGGAGACTGAAAAGATTTGGGATCAGTCCTCAGATCCTCAAAAAGTTTTACAGCTGCACCATCGAGAGAATCCTGACTGGTTGCATCACCGCCTGGTATGGCAACTGCTCGGTCTCTGACCGCAAGGCACTACAAAGGGTAGTGCGTACATCCCAGTAAATCACTGGGGCCAAGCTTCCTGCCATCCAGGACCTCTATACCAGGCGGTGTCAGAGGAAGGCCCTAAAAATTGTCAAAGACTCCAGCCACCCTAGTCGTAGACTGTTGTATTCGGCACATGTGGCAAATAACATTTGATTTGATATATTCCATTTGGGGGGCCAGCCAGACAGACAGACAGGCCTCAGAATGCAGTGTGAATACTCCAGATTAGATAGTTATGGAGAGAGCCTTCTGGCCTATTGATTAGCAGTGAAAGAGAGAGAGATGAGTCCTCAGAATCACATTATGTTAAGCTCTCCTGAACGCCAGCTTTTAATGCATAGAGACATCGGACTACTTTAAAGCAGAAGTAGTACACTATATAGGGAATTGGGTGCCATTTGGGAAGTAACCTGTACGATGCTCTCCTGAATAGCAGCTTTTATTACGTAAAACCGTTATGTAATGACACAGAGGGTGTGGGTGGATGTT